TACCTCTCGGTTGTTGACTGAATTAAGAGGGGTAAACATTCTAAATAACATTCATACAGATGTATGAAAAAATTAGTCTGGGCCTCATTATTACAAAAGAATTTCTCTCTTTGAAGAAGGACTCAGCAGAGGACTCTTTCAATTTTGAATACTCTGTTTCAAAATTCAATTTTGAAAGTACATCGAAGTGCAATTGATGTGCAGCTTTGCAGCAGGCTTCTAGGGTGCAAAATCAGATGTATTTCTGGAAGATGATAGGACGAAATAGTTTCCACTGAAAAGACTGGCACCATGTCTGTGATGCAGGTTACATCTAAGTGGCCAGGACACTGCTCTCCCCCACCTCTGCCCCTTTCTGGAAAGGAACTAAACTGATGGATGATCCCACAGGCAGGGATGCCCCTGGATCCTCTGCATGATTCCCTCCTGGTGAATATTCTGGATATGCTCCTATCAGGCCAATGAGATACATGAATTCCTTTTATAAGAGTGCTTCAAAGCACTTTTCATTTGCCCCGAGCACTAGTATATTAAGCAAGAGTTGGCCAACCTTAAGTGAGCCTGGAGACTAATGAAAATGACAAATGAATTGGGAAATAGGAGCTGTGAGTAAAGGGGAAAGGCGTTATGGTAGGAGACCAACCTGTTTCTTTGTTGTTGTTGCTGTTGTTATAGTGACCAGGGAATACTCTTAAACCTTAAGGAAACTTCAGTTTCACATCAAAGGGCTTCTATGGTCTGACTGTAAGCAGGGACATTCTCTGTCCAGAGAAGTTGTGAGATTTTTGTAGATTTTTTTTTCTGGAATGATTTAGAGGATATGACTCTGCAGTAAATGGAATTTGTTTTTATTTGTCTTATTTTCCTGGAACATTTAATGTCTTTATGAGATAAGCACCTACCTATAATCTCTATTTCAATAAGGCTGTTTAAGCATCATGTACTTTATGGATTTAGTTTAAAATATGATTTTCTGACTTCTTTAAAAATATCCCCTCAAAAGAACTGACATCTGCTTAGCCTCTCTGAAGTTAGACCTGCAATTGATTGCAAAGTATGTACTTGGCACACATTGCCCTTGCCTTTTGGTTTATATGGTCTGTGTGCATGTGCACGTGCACATGTGTGTGTGTTTATGGGTGTAATTCTAGCTCTGGCAGGTGAGAGGGATTTTTTTTCAAGGGTAGGCACGTGATTCAATAAACCCACAATGTACTTAGTATGTACAATGCCTACCTTCCTTTACATTCTCTGCTGTGTCCAGAACCCCACTATGCCACAAGTAAACTTACACTGTATTGCTGAGCAACTTTGCTGGGTTGCTGAGTGACACCAGGCATAGATGAGCAAACAGTGAGGTTTGGAAGACAGTTTTTGAGACAACGGTAACACGGGCTAAAGACAGTCACACTCCACTCATCACTCCCTCATTACTGAGGAGTAAATGAGAAGTCAGAGTTGGGAAATAAGACTTCAGAGACTAGTTAGGGCTCCCAGGAAGAGGAAAAACAAAACAAAGCTTGGGATCTAGTCCAGAGCTGGGGGAGGAGAGAACAAGTAAGCCGTGCCAGCTTGGGCAAAAGCATCATTCCTTTTCTGCCCAGTGTGGGCTGGGATTCTCAAACTCAAGGACAACATGGCTTGGTGTTTGCCCTCAGTGTGAATATGGCACCAGCTGATGTCATCATCCAGCAGATGCCCCATTTAAGTAAGGATCTCACTCCTGTCTGCTCTTTTCATCCCAGGGGAGTGGCATCTCCACCAGAGGGCAAGCAAAGCAAGAAAAGGGCTAGAATAGTAGGGGAGGGCCAGGTTGATCCCTCCTTGTTCACACCTGCACCTGTCTCTGTGGCCAGAGGGGAACTGATGGAGCCAGAATCTGGGCGAGACCACACCTCTCTACCGCTGGGGAAGAGCACAGATTCTGAAAGGAGGCAGGTGGGTCTTTGGATCTTGAGTCAGCCTCTTACTAGTCATTTATCATTACAACTGGGATGAAGTTCAGCAAGGTGGGTGGATACAGAAATCAGTAATTCTCATTCACTGCTTTCCAGTAATTAGAAAATCTGACAGGAAAGAAAGAGTTGTAATTCACAATGCAAAAAAGATACCTGTCCTTAAGATACCTAAGGACACCTAATAACAATAATAACAACAAAACAAAATGCACAAGACTAATCAGAAAACATTGAAAAAAAACAAACAATGAATAGGAATTGCTATATCAGAAACTAAGATGGAATAGAAAGCTTTAGTAGTTATAGTGGTGTGATCACACAAAGAGCTCAATGGCACAGAAGAGAAAATGTATGAATTCATCCTGTAATGAAAGTCGTATTTCTTTTTTTTTTAACATTTTTATGATGCCTGTTTTTTTTAAGATTTTTTATTTATAGAGAGGGAAGGGAGGGAGATAGAGAGAGAGAGAAACATCAATGTGCAGTTGCTGGGGGTCATGGCCTACAACCCAGGCATGTACCCTGACTGGGAATTGAACCTACGACACTGGTTCACAGCCCATGCTCAATCCACTGAGCTATGCCAGCCAGGTAAAAGTCATATTTCAATGGGGGAAAAAAGATGTTTATCTTCATGTAGAGAAAAGTACAAAAGAGAAAACAACAGTTACCCAAATTCCCACTCATCAGAATCAATCATTATTAATATTTCAACTTACTTGCTTTCACCCTTGTTTCCATGTTAACAACTTTTTAAGTAAATCACATACATAATAAATAAACACAATGTCTTTTAAAAAAATCTATGGCTCAGGTTCCAGCTAAGATGGCTAATCCACTGGTCCTGCTATCTCTCCCCCAGGATCAACCCTGAGAGATTATAGAAACCCATAGAAGACGTGGATAGTAGGAATTGTCAATGGCCATGGAAAGAACTGTGAGAAACCCCAGCAGTGCTTAGGACTGCTTGAGCTGATTTGTGTGGGGGGCAGGTGGACAGCTGTAGCATGGAGCTGAGGCATGGGGTAGAAGAGAAGGGCTGATTAAAGGAAAGGGTCTAAAGTTTGGCCTTGCCTGTCTTCTGCCCTTTTACAACAGAGACTGAGAGCAGCAGCCCACCACCAGTGTGCCCTTGTCTGTAGTTCACTATGAGGGTAGATCTACTTCACTGGCAGAGTTGCCAGATTTAGCAAATAAAAATGCAAGATGTTCAACTCAAATTTCAGATAAACAGCAAACGATTTCTTAGTGTAAGTGCGTTCCACATAATATTTGGGACATATTTATACAAATTTATTTTAATTGTTCATGTGAAATTCAAATTTAAGTAGGCATTCCCTATTTTGTCTGGGTGGGCCCATTCACAGGTGACTGAGATAGTAATGTCTGCTCTGAGCATCAAGCCCGCTGGCAGGTAGTTGGCCTCTATAGAACTGGGCACTTGCTGGCCTTCTCTCAAGGGTGTTGAGGGAAGCCTGTAGGTAACTGCTGTCATGCAGCATCTCCTGTGGAGAGGAATAACCAGAGTCTGAGCCAGGCTCATTGGGAATTTTCCCTGTTAGCTTCTGGGATTTGATATAGCATGGCAGTTTCTAAGCTCTGCTTCCACCATGCCCCTGGTCTCAAACCCTGAAACTGTATAATAGAAGGGTAGGGAGGTCACTAATCCTCAAAAGTCTCACCCAGCCCCAAACTTCTGCCTAGTGACCAGCTGAGCAGCAAAGCCCTTGCCAACCTGCGGACAACTGTGGAATATGACTAGACCACAGCCAGACTCAGTCTGAGACTCAACCCATACTCAACCAGAACCAGGTACAGGGTCTCTGCCATGGCTTCAAACGATCAAACCATTATTATAACTGAGTTGGTTATTATTGTTCTTAAGGAATTTTTCTTGCTTTTTATCTTTTTGCATACAGATAAGACCAGCTATAAAATACCTGATTATCCAAATTCTAGATTAAGCTTATGTAAACATGGCCTGAAAGATAGAGTCCATTTCTGTCTAAAAGTTAAAATATAACCCTGACACTGATACCTGGGAATATTAGAATGAACCTTCAACATCTATTTTTGCTGGTCAAGATTTGCATATATCTGTACACTGAAAATGGTTTTTGGATATCCTATCACAAAAGGAGATTTTCTCCAGCCAGTACCACCCCATGCTCTTGTGTCATCTGTCCAAATGGCCATCTTCCCATCTCATCTTTTTGCCAACAGCACTACAGAACAAAGCTTCTAGCTAACACTTTTTGAAAGTTTTCTTAATTTATTTTATAGAACTTTTCAACAACTTTATTTTATTTCACAGTTTTGGATATAATTAATGGACAGTCAAATTCATTGTTTTAGGTATATGATTCTACAAATTTTAACTAGCAATTGTCAAGAGAAGCTCTTCAGTGGAATCCAACCATCTTTGGGTGCAAAGGAAATCCATTCCAACTCATTTAGCACTACATGGTTTTTTAGATCCATCCACCATGATCCGGGGATGTTTCTTTTCTGTACCAGCTGGATTGATACATCTTAGATGGTATGTCAGAGCAACAACTTTGAGGGAAAAGTCTTTGTTATCATAGAAAGGACTCAAGCATTTTGCCTTCCTACCAACTAGCCTCTGTTCCACTGGATCACAGCCGTGTTTCCCTGGTTGTGGGTGGGGGAGTGAGAGGTATATCTGAAGAGGCTCAGAGATCAGGCTGGGGATCAAGCCACTAAATGCTGGGGCTGGAGAACTAAAACCCCTAAGTAATGAGATTATGCTGATTTAGGTTCCAGGAAACCTGGCTTCGTTTTCTTTAAAAGACTTTCTTTTGAGAAAGAGCCTTGAATGGCAAAGGGCTGAAGAGGTGTTAGTAGTCATCCACCCGCAGGACAACTGAGTCTCACATAATGCTGACCCACAGAGTTGGGCATGAAGCAGTGTAAGTTGTCAGTGGGGCTGAGAGATGGGTTCTCCAAAGGTGAGGATTATTGCCTGGGATGAGAAAGTTTCAGAACCAATACGTGATCAGCAATATAATCTGACACAGAAACTTTGTATTAAAAATTTGCTTTATTGAATACAACCGAAGAAAGCAAAGGAAACAGCGAAAAACATCACAGGACTACAACTCTGTAGATGACAATGTTGTGCCAATACCATGTAGGGACAAGATTGAATGGTCACTTAATTGTTCTATGAGCAGCTCGTGGGTAGAGTTATAATGAGCAGGACAGTCAGACATCAAAGGAAAGATTCCCATTCTGTAGAGTGTAGACGATGTAGAATGAGCTTCACAGGGACATAGGTCACTTTTTTCCCAGAGTAATGGCAGATTGATGTAACTGCTAATAAGATGGGAACATCACAAAGATATCTGCATGTCTTCAGGGCACTAATTGTATATCTTCTCAGGGTGAAAAATGAAAGCTCAGACCCAGCAGATATAGAGAGATGAAATGAAGACTAGACAACTTCAGTTTAACCCAGAGGTCAAAAGAAGTCTGAGGCACGAGACAAAAGGCAACCAGAAGAGAGGGCCATGAAGCTGGACAGGGGCCCTGAGACAAGGTGGACTGGCCAGCCAAGAGGAGGACTTCAGTGCTTGTAGCTCTTCCTGCTGGAGGATGAGGTGGTGGTGTATCTGACGGTGGAACTGCTGCCACCAACAGAGCTGAGGCCACCCCCCAAGCCTCTGCCACTGCCGGAACTGAAGCCACCTGAGAGGCCGTGACCGCTGCCATAGGAGTAGCTGCTGCCTCCACCCAGGGCCAAGCCACTGCCAACACCACTGCCGCTGCCATAACCACTGGACACGGTGGACTGCACCACGGCTGTGGAGGGGAGGGCACAAGGACACACAGGCATGGTGAGCTCACTCTGTCAGCCTGAGTGCAGTCAGAAGAACTCAAGGGCAGGGGGCTAGGCAAGCAAAGATACTTACAGATGTTGACTGGTCCAACACCTTCCCCACTCAGCCTAGGAGGGAGGAAACACAGGGACCATGAGACCTCAGACAGCCACTGCTGGACCAGTGTGGGAAGCCTCCAGGTGAGGACAACCCATGGGGAGACTGCCCTTTCATTGGTTCTCAGAGAGAAGCAATTATAGCCATCACCACAGTGCTTGAAACTTGGGCTCTCGGGCTGGGCATCATGGAGAAGCAGCCCGATGGCTGACTGGGGAGGTTGTGAACTACCCACCTGCACTCCTCGCCCTCCAGCAGCTTCCTGTAGGTGGCGATCTCCACGTCCAGGGCCAGCTTGACATTCATGAGCTCCTGGTACTCCTTGAGCAGCCTGGCCATGTCCTGCTTGGCCTTCTGCAGTGCGTCCTCCAGCTCGGCCAGCTTGTTCTTGGCGTCCTTGAGGGCCAGCTCCCCACGCTGCTCAGCATCAGCGATGGCGGCCTGCAGGTTGGCACACTGGAGGGGGAGATGGACAGAATGAACTTGTAATCTAGTCCTCCAGAAGGGACTAACCCCGATTCCTCTTTCTCAGTGAGGCAGAGATCCAGAGCCCAGGCTGCATGGAAGAGGAGCTGGCATCATTTTCCTCCAGACTTTGTCCCTTCTGCAAACCTTCTCTAGTTTAAGAGTCACTTGAGAAAGCCTGTGCCCCTTTGTGTTAGCCACCCTGCATGAGGATGTGGGGGCTGAGTGGTGGAAGACAGGACAACAGGCACAGGCCAGGGGGCCATGGGAGAAATGGACCCACTAGCTTGTTTTGAATCTTGACAGCTTTGGATAATGTCACCTGGTAGCTACACTAACTTGTACAAAATACAAACATTCTCATTTACGTGATGAGTTTCTTTCATCTCACACTTGTAGGTGACACAGGTCCTTGTCCTGTGCCTTTGCCTGACTGGGTTTTCTTTTTTTCACCTAGAATCTGGAGTGGTTTGCACCCATCTTCCTGCTCCCTTGCTGGCCTGCCTTTTCTTTCCCGGTTCCCTGAATTACCAAATCAACTGTTCTTCTTATGTAATCTGTCTTCAGTGCCCCTGACTACGTTTTCACAGCTCTGACAGAGGAAACTGGTTTTGTTCAGCTGTATGTCTCATGCCCTTGGGTTGGAATCCATCTCTCCTCCCTGTGGGAACTCCTTAAGGGGTGGAAACTGCATGGTCTCCCCTCCCTGCTCTTCCCTCAGTCCCCAGGTAGTTCAGAAAACCTGGGGGCTTGACCAGGTATTGTGATGACCACGTGGTGTTCTGGCATGGTTTTCCTTTGCCCCCAGCATACCTGCTTCTTGACGTGGTCGATCTCAGACCGCAGCCTCTGGATCATGCGGTTGATCTCAGCAATCTCCTGCTTGGTGTTGCGCAGGTCGTCCCCGTGTCTGCCAGCTGTGACCTGCAGCTCCTCATACTGCAGTCAACAGAGAGACAAGGTGATGTGCAGGCTTTCCCATGTCACCAGTGAAATCAGGCTTTTTGTAAATTAAACCTAACGGCTTCTCCCGAAGAGATGTTAGGCAATGCTGGTGTTTCTAGGTCACTGGACACTGTATACCAATCTCAGACCAACCTTGTTAAGAGACCACGGACTTTCTAGTTCTCCTCAGAACCTGCAACGTCCTGCACTAGGTTTCTGAGACCAGCATTAGGGTGAAGCTGAAGCAAAGAGCACTGGGTCCTTATCTACATTAGCTTTGCTCCTGCTTGGTTTCTTTGGCTTACTAGAATTGCACATGAATCCTGTAAACATCTACTCTCTCAGGACAGGGCACACATTCTGTGAGAGGACAGCAGCTTCCTAGAAGTGCCTCTTCCCAGTGAAGTCTGGTAGCCTTGCTGGTGTTCAGGGAGCAAGCACAGGGATTCCTCAGCAGGTGCCCACTCGCTGCTCACCTTGGTCTGGTACCAGGATTCGGCCTCAGCTCGGCTCCTCTGAGCAATCTCCTCATACTGGGCTTTCACTTCAGCAATGATGCTGTTCAAGTCCAGGTCACGGTTGTTGTCCATGGACAGGACCACAGAGGTGTCTGAGATGTGGGTTTGCATCTGAGCCAACTCCTGCAGAACATGAGATGGTCAGATCATTTTCTCCTGTGACCTTCACAGAGTCCCCAACCCCAAGACCTTCCACCCTTTAGCAGAGCCCCATTAGAAGGGATAAAGGAGGGTGGAGGTGCTTACTGCCTCGTAGAAGGCTCTTGTGAAGTTGATCTCATCCATGAGAGCATCTACCCTGGCTTGCAGTTCAACCTTGTTCATGTAGGCAGCATCCACATCCTAGGGAATGAGCCCACAAGCCAGAGTCAGCTGAGCCCTCTTCCCCCATCTGCCCTTCCTTGAGCCTCCCCACCTCTTCTGCTCTCAGATGTGGGCAGGGCTCCAGAGTCCTCCTGCAAAGAAACCTCAACCCTGGTTTTAATCAGCTCACCTTCTTCAGAGTCACAAATTCGTTCTCTGCTGCAGTGCGCTTGTTGATTTCATCTTCATATCTAGAATGAGAAAGGGATAACAGGTAACCGAGTCAGTGGTGAAGATGATACAGAAAAAGGCAGCCTGGAGTTAGAACCTTCTATCATCGATATATCCAAATTGAGCTCCCTGCCAGGAAGCCTAAGAGATGACTTTTGTGTCTGTTAGTTGTTTCCTTCTTTACTCTCCTTATCCACCTCTATGGCCTTTTCGTTTTGAGGAGTTTGTTTCTAGGCAACGTGTGAATTTAACTTTCATGGACTTGTTTTGCCTTGCACTCATGCTCACATCTGGACCTGGCCACCCCTTGGTCCTGAATTGTGTGCTTCAGAGCACTGAGCCCGTTTCTCTCCTAACTCACTTGTTCTTGAAGTCCTCCACCAGGTCCTGCATGTTCCTCAGCTCTGAGTCCAGGCGGCCTCTCTCCCCGACAATGCTGTCCAGCTGTCTCCTCAGGTTGCTGATGTACTGCTCGAACAGGGGCTCCAGGTTCTGCCTCACGGTCTTGGTGCCCTGCTCCTGGAGCAGGGTCCACTTGGTGTCCAGGACCTTGTTCTGCTGTTCCAGGAAGCGCACCTGAAGAAACACAAGTGGTCATTTGCCAGACAAAGGAAGGAAGATTCTGGACATGAGAGTTGTCATGTCCCCAAGCAGGTCTGTGTGGCCTCCACAATGCTGGGCTGCTGCAGAGCAGATACAACAATTTATGCTGAGATCCCTACTCCCCCCAAACTGTCTCTCTTCACAGCCCACGGGTCTCCCCAGTGGAGTTCCCCTGTGGTCCTTGAGGTCCTCTCACCCTCTAAGTTATGGAGCCTATCAGTAACTCTCAGCATTTCTTCTCCTTCTCTTGACGTGTGTGACCCAACATCCACATAATATAGTATTTTCCTGATATATAGCACAAAGTTTATTTTTTAAGGTAGTGGTACCTCTGTTAAAGGGACATTAAATGTTTGGAATCTGATGATTAAATTTCAATCTCAAGTATGATTGGATTCTAATGTATCTTTCTATTTGAGTGCACAAGTCTTTTCCAAGACAAACTCCCTCAGTGGTCATTCCCTGGATGTATAACTTTATTATTTCAATGGATATATAAGTGTTTCTGAGTCATTTTTTGTAATTCAGGCAGAACATCTTTTCCCCCATTTTTCTGTCATTATTTTCCTCTTGCCCATTGTCCCTAGAAAAGTTTTCCACTGAAATTTTATCTCTAATGTTTTAGATTCTTCAGAAGGTACAGTCCATCCCCTTTAATTTTCTCATTGCTTTTTCTTTTGTTCCATAGTTACTCAAAGTTGAGAACTTTACCTGGACATGAATGAAAGATATTTAAGAGATTTGGTAGTTGTAAATTATATCCACCTTATCCTGTCTATGGTCAGTGTGGAGCTAATCTGGCATCCCAGGGTGAAGCCACTCTGAGTTCCTTTCTCCCTCACCCCCACTCTCTTCCCGGTAGGACATGCATCAGTCCTCCAGTCTGGGGACTCTGAATCCCCACTGGAGGTCAGGACTTCTTGGCTCACCTTGTCGATGAAGGAGGCAAACTTGTTGTTGAGGGTCTTGATCTGCTCCCGCTCCTCAGTCCTCACCCGCTGGATGGTGGGGTCGATTTGCAGGTTCAGAGGAGTGAGGAGACTCTGGTTGACTGTGACCTCTTGGATGCCTCCAGGGGGGCACACAGGGAAGCCAGCGCCCCCATAGCCACCAGCAAAGCCAGCTCCACCACCGAGCCCAAAGCCACTACCAGCTGCACCGCCAAAACCAAATCCACTCCCGGCTCCACCTCCAAAGCCAAAGCCTCCTCCAACTCTGCCACCATATCCGCCACCGACGGCACAGCTGCCACCTCCGATGGAGATCCTCTTGGAGCCCCCCCCCCAGGCTGTAGAGGCTGCGGCTGCCAAAACCAGCTCCTCCACACACTCCACCAAAGCCACCGCTGCCCCTGGAGCGGCACACAGAGGCACTGCTGAAGCCAGAGCGGCTGGCCCCAGGGACCCTGGCTGAGCTGGCACTGAAGCCACGCTGGCTGCTGCTTTGGATCCTCACGGTGGACTTGCTAGACATGGTTCCTGAAGGTGAGAAGGCTGAAGAAGGCGCGAGAGGCTGGAGGGTAGGGCTGAGAGGAGCAGATGTGTGAGATGAGTTTCCTAGCAGTTTATATACGGTGAAAATGGGCTGGGCTCAATCCTGGAAGGTAGGTGAGCTTGCAGATTGGGAAGGGTTGGGCTTTACAAGCAGTGAGATCACATCTGGATTATTAGAAAAGTTATGAAATGTAAAGATTGCATTTTGGCTTCCTATAGTCAGGGAAAATTTTCCTGCCTTCCAGCTTTGACTTGGTCTAAGTACAATAAGGCTATTCTCCATTCACTGAGCTAGGAGTTAGTCACTGTCTCAAACAAATGTTCTGCCCTTAATGCCCGCGTATCAGAATGCACTGAGTGTGCTCCTCTCCAAACTGCTTCTTCACTCAGCAGAGGCATTGCAGGTCAAAATAGTCTGTTGAATATGCCTAAGAGAATGATTCCTGTTCCTTTTTGTTGATTATAATGTTAAAAATGACTTTCCTTTTATGTAAAACTTCAGACAGGTAGATAAGCAGAATCACAACATGATAGGCCCCTGCGTGCATATCGCCAGCTTTAGAAAAGGTATGACATCATGGCAGGACTCCTTTCTTCCGGACCCCCACGCAGTGCCCTACCAGCCCTGAGTTATTTGAGTGCAGATCCCAGAGATCGCATCACTTCTTTATCATGTAATTCTATATTTATGTCTAAATGACAAACTTCAGAAAATATAACCAAAATACCACTTTTGTGTCTTAAATATTTATGTATTCATTAGCATCAACACATATCTATTTAATTTTCACATAAACCCCTTTTCTGTTATTTATTTATTTATTTATTTTTAAATATTTTATTTATTTTTAGAGAGGGAAGTGAGATAGGGAGAGAGAGAAACATCAATGTGCGGTTGCTGGGGGTTATGGCCTGCAACCCAGGAATGTACCCTGGCTGGGATGTTATTTATTTTTTATCATTTGCTTGTTCAACTCAGGATCTTAATAAGCTCTACACCTGCTTTTTGGAGATATGTTTTATAAATCATTTACATTGTTAAATCTCACTTTATTTTTTTTCTTTGCTGTTCATTTGTTAAAGAACCACGTTCTATGTTTTGTGCTGTTTTCTACTCTTTGGATTTTTGTAATTGTATGTTCAAGCAACTCATTTAATCTGCTACTGTGTTCTTTGTATGTTCTGGAAACTGATAGTTAAAAGTAAAAGCTTAATAAGCTGTGTATTTAAACTTTCCAGATGTAGATACTGTATATTATTACTCACACACTTATTTACATATTTTAAAATTAAATAAATAATGCATGTTCAAGTAACAAAATACATGCTCAAGGTCATCGTCCAGCTAATTCACTCCTGTACACGGAAGCAAAGAGTATTCCCAGCTCCCCGTGAACCCTTGTGGACTCTTCACTTGGACAAGTCTCTGTGCTTTTCCTGGGGCATGTGTAAGCTGCATGCGTGTTTGTATAAACATGTGTACATATATTGTATATGTATAAATACATGCAACACATACATTCTCTTTTCCAATTGTGTTGTATCTACTTTATCTCTCACATCTATGTTTTCTCTTGATTCCCTTTTAATACTTTATGATTGCTTTTCCGTAACTGCTTGCTTTTCTCCACCCTTAGCTGTTTATCCCTGATTGCGCACTCAGCAATCTCTTTTCCTCTTTGTGCTACTTTCAGTTTGGTCTTCATTTCTGTTGCGACAGTTTTTCCCCTCTGCTTCTTTTCTGGGCTCTACTAGCTAATGTTTTCATCTTTTTTTTTGTCTCACTATATTGTGCCTTTGTTCTCTGATGTTATCATGGTATTTATTTTATTGAAACTTAAAGTCAATAAAATAATATTATATTGTGACTTTTTCTTTTGAGTGTTTTTAATATGCTTTTTGTTTTCTCCACATCTTTAAAGAAATGTGAAGTATCTTCTGTGGGTCCTGGAATAGTTTCTTTCTGACTGGCGCTCATCTTTGAATATGGTGAGCTACTTCTGGACCTGCCAGTTGCAGAAAGTATTCTGGGATGAGTGGCCAAGGCCATACCCAGGCTAATAGGAAGTCTCATTATGACACAGGGCTGGGTGAATAATTCTTTAAATAATTAATTCAGCCAAACCAACAAAGATCGCTACAGGGTGGCTCTCAGTTCACAGTCTTTCTTTGCTTCACCAGCAAACTGCTGCCAGTAGGCCTTGACTCTGATTCCTTATTCAACATTGCCTTCACAGTTTCTTGAACTTCATGATGTATTTGGTCCTGCCTCCAGCCCACACACCCAGTTCTGACTGTTGCAATAAGAGTTTCTTGGATTTGTACCTGAGGAAGTGCCCTTTGCTTTGGTTTAGCAGGAGTTACATGAGTCAACAGTGCCTGGCAACCTCCAGTGCCTGGAGGAACCTCAGCATTAGCTTTGATTCTTCGATTGGTGTTCCTTTGTGGTCACTGTGTTGCTTTGTTTGAAGCTGTTTGTTTGCCAGAGTGTTCTCTCTCTGTTTTGCAACAATTGCATGTCCATTCTCTATTTCTGTGAGAATATTCTTTTTTTTTCTTTTTGGTTGAGGGTGGAGTTAACTTTTATGTTTCTCGTTCTTATCGTTTTTAGGTAATTTCTTTTTTTAATTTTATTTTAATCATTGTTCAAGTACAGTTTTCTCCCTTTTACTCCCATTCCAGCCCGCCCACCCATCCCTCCCCATGTTTTCAGGTAATTTCTTAAAAGGGGGAAAATGCTTCCCTTTTTTCTGCTAGGTTATATTCAGAAGTTTTCCATTTACATATTTATATTTAAAATATCATGTTAACTACAATGTTAATAACTTAACTTAGAAATACTAATTTTCTTCTCCCATGCTTTGTGGAAATACTTTCACTCAATGCAGACATCATTGGCCTCAGGGCTTCTCTCTTCTCTAGAACCATGTTGGGAATAACCTGAAATTTTCCTACAGGACCTTGATCACATTTACTGTCATCACTAGATATTTAATTCCAAAATATATTTAATTCCAAAAATATATAATTCCTTTCTATAGCTGAATCCTTTATTTCTTTTTTAAATATATTTTATTGATTATGCTATTAGTTGTCCCATTTTTTTCTCCCCTTTATTCCCCTCTACCCTGTACCCCTCCTCCCACCAGTATATCCCCACTTTAGTTCATGTCCATGGGTCATGCATATAAGTTCTTTCACTTCCCTATTTCCTGTACTATTCTTAACCTATCTATTTTGTACCTACCATTTATGCTTCTTAATTCCTGTACCTTTGCCTCCATTCTCCCTCCCTCCTCCCTGCTAGTAACTCTCCAGGTAATCTCCATTTCTGTGATTCTGTTCCTGTTCTAGTTGTTTGCTTAGTTTGTTTTTGTTTTTTAGGTCCAGTTGTTGACAGCTGCAAATTTGTTATCATTTTACTGTTTATAGTTTTGATCTTATTTTTCTTAGGTAAGTCCCTTTAACATTTCACATAATAAGGGCTTTGTGATGATGAACTCCTTTAACTTGATCTTACCTGGGAAGCACTTTATCTGCCCTTCCATTCTAAATGATAGCTTTGCTGGGTAGAGTAATCTTGGATGTAGGTCCTTGCCTTTCATGACTTGGAATACTTCTTTCCAGCCCCTTCTTGATTATAGGGTTTCTTTTGAGAAATCAGCTGATAGTCTTATGGGAACTCCTTTGTAGGTAACTGTCTCCTTTTCTCTTGCTGCTTTTAAGATTCTCTCCTTTATCCTTAATCTTAGGTAATGTAACTATGATGTGTCTTGGTGTGTGCTTCCTTGGGTCCAACTTCTTTGGGACTCTCTGAGCTTCTTGGAGTTCCTGGAAATCTATTTCCTTTACCACATTGGGGAAGTTCTCCTTCATTATTTTTTCAAATAAATTTTCAATTTCTTGGTCTTCCTCTTCTCCTTCTGGCACCCTTATGATTCAGATGTTGGAATGTTTAAAGTTGTCCCAGAGGCTCCTAAGCCTCCCTTTATTTTTCTGAAATCTTGTTTCTTCATTCTGTTCTGGTTGAATGTTTATTTCTTCCTTTTGTTCCAAATTGTTGATTTGAATCCCTGTTTCCTTCCCTTCACTGTTGGTTCTCCATATATTTTTCTTAATTTCCCTTTGCACAGCCTTCACTTTTTCTTCTATTTTGCAACCATACTCAGCTATTTCTGTGAGCGTCTGGATTACCAGTGTTTTGAACTCTGCATCTGATAGGTTGACTATCCCTTCATTGCTTAGTTCTATTTTTGGAACTTTGATCTGTTCTTTCATTTGAGCCATTTTTAAAAAAATCTTACTGTACCTGTTATGTAATAAGGGGTGGAGCCTTAGGTATTCAGCAGGGCTGGGCAACCCATGTTGCTGCATTGTGGTGCTGTATGTGGGGGAGGGGTCTGAGAGGGAACAATGTCACTTGTTCGGGTCTTCTCTGGCTTTCAGTCACTTCCCCTGCTACCCACAAGCAAATTGGGCCTTTCTGGTGCTGATTCCCAGGTGGGTGGGCTTATACATATTCTAGGACCCCATGAGCCCCTCCAGTGAACTCTCATGTGAAGATGTGAGTTTCTGCTGCCACTGCAACCTCTACAGGTTTTTTCAGTCAGAGGTTTTGAGGCTTTATTTTCCTGGGCTGGAACCCCAGGTTGGGTGGTCTGTCTTGCTTCACAGTTGTTCCTCCCATTTATCTGCATGCAAATGTGGGACCATCAGCTTCCACCTCACCCACCTGGTCCTCCAGCCACTGCCTTGCCATGAATCCTCTCTGCTCTAGCTACTGGTCTCTACTCCTCCTACCAGTCTGGGTGAATGTTTCTTCTTTAACTCTTTGGTTGTTGGACTTCCATACAGTTTGATTTTCTGGCAGTTCTGGTTGTTTTTTTTTGTTTGTTTTTAAATGTGTTGCCCTTCTTTTGGTTGTACAAGGAGGCAAAGTGTATCTACCTATACTTCCATCTTAGCCAGAAGTTCTGAATCCTTTACTTCTTTTGCTGAAGCATCTTAAAGGAAATCCAGACATTGGGTCATTTCACTTATAAAATATTTCCATGTATGT